GTGAAGGGTAAACAAAAGGAGGAGGCAGCAATGCTGGGTAAGAAACGTACGCATTATCCTGCCCATGTAATTGTAACCCCTCTGTACAGTATCTTCACAAATAAAAAAAAAAAAGAATCTCAGACTTTCCTACCCAGGCTGGCTTTGAACCAAGATCCTCTGATCTCAGCTTCCTGAGTAGCTAGGATTATAGGCGGATGCCTGGCTAAATATCTCTTATAGATTACTTTTGTTTGTTTTTGTTAATTTTTGTCAGTCCTGGTGCTTGAACTCTGAGCCTGGACACCTCTCTCAGCTCTTCAGCTCAAGGTAAGCACTCTACCACTAGGACCACAGCACCACTTCCAGTTTTCTGGTGCTTAATTGGAGATAAGAGTCTCATGAATGTTCCTGCCCAGGCTGGCTTTGAACTGTAATCCTCAGATCTCAGCCTCTTGAGTAGCTAGGATTACAGGTGTAAGCCACCAGTGCCTGGCTAGATCACATTTTTATAATCATGATTTTCACACAATTAAATTACTCCTCTATATCAAATCACTACAATTGAAACTATTATTTTAAAGATAAAGCTTTTTTTTTTCCTTTGCTGGTCATGGGGCTTGAATTCTGGGCTTGGGTGCTGTCCCTTAGCTCTTCAGCTTGTCAAAGCTAGTGCTCTACCACTTGAGCCACAGCACCACTTCTGGCTTTTTCTGTTTATGTAGTGCTGAGGAATCAAACCCAGGGCCTTATGCATGCAAGATAAGCACTCTACCACTGAGCCACCTTCCCAGCCCCAAGATAAAGCTTATATACATGTGCTCTTAGATTTATACTCTTGTAGCTATATACTACTACAAACTAAAACAATTATATCTTTGGCTCAAGTGTGTAAGTCATCACTGAGGTATCTGAATATTTTTCATAAAAGAATGCTAAGTAAGCCAGGTGACAGTGGCTCATGCCTGTAATCCTAGCTACTCAGGAGGCTGAGATCTGAGGATCGCGGTTCATAGCCAGCCCGGGCAGGAAAGTCCGTGAGACTCTTTATCTCCAATAAATCACCAGAAAACCAGAAGTGGTTCTGTAGTTCAAGTGGTAGAGCACTCGCCTTGAGCTGAAGAGCTGAGGGACAGTACCCAAGACAAGCATTCAAGCCCCATGACCCCCCCCCCACAAAAAAATGCTAAGTACATGTACTGCACACATTTTCCCTAGTCTTTTGTTTTCGATTTTCTTAAATGTGTTCCTGCATGTCCTTTATTATTTCTGTTGAGGTATAATTAATAAATTATAGTCAATCCATGAATCAATTTTATGATATTGAAAACTGAACACAGAGCCTTGCTCATGTTAGGTTTGTGCTCTGCCACTGAGCTACATCCCAGCCCTAAATATACATATCTTACAAGTTCAAATAAGTATAGATGTGTGTGATTTCTTTCATTCAAGATACATATTTTTGAGATTCATCTATGTTTTTCCATATAAGACTTTCTAGTACAAGTCTTGTTGGGGGCCATACATTTTAATCTTTCCTGGATATATACCTAAGAACAAAATTGTTGGGTCACAGTGAAGATGAAGTGGTTGTACTACTGCCCATTCCTACTACAGTATTCAGACTGTCAGAATATGTTTGATGTTATCAATTCTGGTGGACATACAGTAGTACCTATGGTCGGGTAATGAAGCATCTGTTCAAATCTTTTGCTTATTATTAGCGTTTGCTTTTTGTCCTTACATTGAGTGTTATCAGATAATGTACTAAGAAATACTATTTCACATACAAGTCTGCGTTTTTGTCTTCATAATGACATATTTTGTTGAGCATTTATTTTTATTTAGGCTTTTAACAATAATTTTTGTTATTTGACTATGAAATTTTTGCTTACTTCAAATTTATAGATATCATTCTATGTTTTTCTCCCAGGGCTAAACACATCACACCAGTGGGTCATGATGTGCTATCTGAACTTTTAGAGAATTCATTTCAGACTAGATTTCAAGGCTAATTGTATTGTTTTATTTCATAAATGTCTCTAATTTACTCTAGTTTAAAGTGGGTTATATTTTATACAGGCTAATTAACATATATTGGAAGAAAACTGCTGTCAGTTTATTGATTCTTAGTTGCATAGACTTCACTGAGACTCTGCTGAGAGTTAATAACTTATTAGAAAAATACTAAATATTCCTAAAATAGCTGCAAGTGATTTATTGACATTGTGAAGTCAGGCCAGGAACTTCTATCACAATCTCATTATTAAGCAAGGAGAATACTAGGGAAGATAAGTAACATTAAACAAAAGAATTTAGTAATAACTCAACATTAGATTTTGAAATAATTGTTATGACAGAAAGAGCTGAGAAGTGACTAGATTGTTTCACTTTTCTGTTGATGTCTGGGAGAATCCTAGGGACAACAGTGGCAGCACCAATGGACTCGATCACCATGACTGTCAGCAAAATTCCTGTCCCTGAAGTCTTTCAAACATCAATCAGCCACTATTTGCCTTTATCTCTTAATAAGTTAGTTGAATAGAAAAGTACTTTGTCCCCTTCAGAGTTCTTTTTCTTTTCTTTCTTTTTTTTTTTTTGTCGTTTGTGGGGCCTGAACTCTGGGCCTCAAAGCTAGTGCTCTACCATTTGAGCTACAGCACCATTTCTGGCTTTTTTCTGCTTATGTGGTGCTAAGGAATCAAACCCAGAGCCTCATGCATGCAAGGCAGGCACTCTAGCACTGAGCCACCTTCACAACCCATTCTTTTTCTTAATAACACAAATAAAAAGAAATTCTACTTTTATTAAGTTGTTTTGTAAATAATTTTCTTATCTTTTTAAAAAAAGAACTTTTTGTTATTTTTTTCTATTTTTTGTTTTTAGTTTTCTCTTTTTTTAAATTAGTGTATTCATTTTACAAAGGAGTTTCATTTTGATATTTCCATACATTATTTACAAACGACTCAATATTCAACTGTGGGAGGTCTGGTAAGCACAGCTGTGTGCTTTAAGGATTTAAAGGATACTGAATTTCCTTATATAGTAACAGAAAAGTGGATGCCATACAAGAGTGTAATAATATCTGTGTTGTCAGATTTTTCAAGTGAAGTCAGGAATCTGGCCATCTAGGTAAAATTTCCTGATTTTTATATGTTGACATATGTTAAAATAACAACAAAAGCCATTTCATAGGTGAGATCAAACAAGTATATATGCTACAGACTGCTGTTTGCAACTCAGTCTCCATGCCATCACTTATATATTAAGCTGATGGAAACAGCCCAGGTAAGACCTCTGTCAACTAAAGCTTCAAAGAGTGGCTAGTTAGGCAGGGAAAAATTTTTCAGAAAAAAAAAAGCACTTCGAGTATTAAACCCCTGCCCCCACTTCATTCTAAAAGCACTATAACATGTACCTTAGCTTTCCTTTCTATTCTAAGAAAAAAATTCATATGAAGTGCCAACAGATAAGCATGTATGGATTTTGAAGTGATTCAAGTTAAGGAAATAGCTGTGAGAGTAGTAGCTCAGTGGTTTAGTGCTTGCCTAGCATGTACAAGGCCTTGACTTCTACCCCTTCCACCATAAAAAAAAAAGCAGAGAAATCTTTATTCTTGAATAAAATGCTTGCATGCGATTAACTACTGATATAAGACTATTATTACATAAGTCTTTACACTTTTATAGGAATGTAACATCTTTCAGCTTCTCAGGTTAGGCCTTAAAGTTAAAAATTTTACCATCAAATTACTTTCACAAATTCCTTAAATCTGCCTAAGTAAAGGACATGGCTTTGTATAAGCCACAATACTTTTAATAACTTCAAGACAATATACCTTATCATTGGAAAATATATTTCTTTAGTTATGCATGATCAAATCACAGTTGAATCTTTCAACTGACACCCATGTAATCCAGGTAGACTGAATGATCATAAAGTGCAGTGTTGTAGAAAGGGCAAACTAACTTGAAAAGCTACCTCTGACCCCTGCTAACTACTAGAAAAAGATACTGGTTAAACTAGCTAGATAAGAAAGAGGCACCAGGTAACTTCAATGCCTGAGTATCAGAGGTTTTGGAAAATAAAAAACACTATTGTGGCACAGGAACTCATAAATCAAGAATAAAAGTATAGTTTAGAAAATTTGATAATGTCAGTGCTGTAACACAATTAAAAGTCTTAAAGAAATAGTATTTGTTAGGAAAAGAATGGATGTTCTGTGCAATACAGTTTCTGGTAATCTGTTAATCCTATTTATAATCCTAGAGAACTAAGCTGCCCAACCCTGCTATGAGGGAAAATTGTATTTTGCATTCAATGTAGGTTTCTTAACTAGGAATTAAGTGTAATGCAACTAGATAGGAATTTCAATCTTTTAATTTTCAATGTATGCTAATAAACTTCATACTAGAAATATACCAATCACTTTACCAAGACTGGTGAAAACATGAACTGAAGTGAAAACACCATGCTTTTAACTTGTGAAGCTGGAGATTAAGTTCAAAAATCAAGGCAGATACTAAAGCTGTTCTAAGATACATTATAAAAAATAGATATGGGGCTGGGAAGGTGGCTCAGTGGTAGAGTGCTTGCCTTGCATTTATGAAGCCCTTGGTTCGATTCCTCAGCACCACATAAGCAGAAAAAGCTGGAAATGGGGCTGAGGCTCAAGTGGTAGAGTGCGCTATTCTACAGCTGAAGAGCTGAGCAACAGAGCCCAGGCCCAGAGTTCCAGCCCCACCACTGACAAAAAAATAAAAAATAAATAAAAAATAGATAAACATCTATTATAGAGTAAAAGCATTCATTTAATGGAGTACATAAAAAGCAAGAAGTGGTTACTACAAACTAGTCACCCTGGTAACTTTAATCATAAACCACAAGCTCAGAGCTCTAATAATTGTGATTGTCACAGTGAACACAGATTTATGGGAAAAGCTCTCTTAGACACAGGCTATATTCATCAGGACAAAATGTTAGTTTTAGTGAATGTGTGGGGAGAAAAGACTCATTCATTTTTAAACATTAGTAACATTATCTGGCTCTTAGAGGTTAAAAAGGAATCCTGCCATCAAATGGCTAATAAGCCAATCTAGACTTCAGTTAGTGGTCCTTTCTGAGCTATGACTTACCTGTATAAATTTGTACTGGTATAAAAATCGGGCTCCTGATACGTGAGCTTGTGGGTTGGATTGAAGGCCTATATACGCCCACAACACCTGGATCTCCAGAGAAACTGGGATGAAACAGCAGGAAGTACAGTTTGTAGCCTGCAGAAGGTAAAGAAGCATTTGCTTGAATAGCCTACTTAAAATCAAACGGATAAATTTAATTGGAATTGAATGACCTCCACCACAAAAACTATGATGAAGGAAACAGAAGACACATATAAAAATGTGAAGACCTTCTGCGTGCACAGATTGGAAGAATCACTGTTTTTTAAAATATCATACTACCCAAAGTGACTTACTGATTTAGTCAATATTGTCAAAACACCAATGAGATTCTTAATAGAAAGAACAAAATCCTAAAATTTTATGACATAAAAGACCTCGAATTGAGCCTGGGAATATGGCTTAGTGGTAGAGTGCTTTCCTAGCATGTATAAAGCCCTGGGTTCAATTCCTCAGTACTACATACACAGAAAAAGCCAGAAGTGGTTCTGTGGCTCAAGTGGTAGAGTACTAGCCTTGAGCAAAAGCAGCTCAGGGACAGTGCCCAGCCCCAGGACTGGCCAAAAAAGCATCCCGAATTGCCCAAGGAGTCCTGAACAGAAAGGACACAGCTTAACACCTGGCACAAGGACATAGTACAGGTTTACCATGTTACTGGCATAAAATTGATGGACACATAGATCATGTTACTGATACAAAGATCAATGAACACAACCTCTTCAAAAAAATGGTGCTGGGAATGCAGAATATTCATATACAGAATAACGAATCTTGAGCTCTATTTCAAACCATTTACAAAAATCAACTCCAAATGGACCAAAGACCTAAATGTCAGACCCAAACTATGAAACTACTAGAAGAAAACAGGTAAGTTAGTATAAAAACATTTTTTTAAGTGTCCCTCCTTACTGAAACACTGCAGTTCTTGCTGAGGATCCTGGTCCACTCTCCTTTCTGGGCTGGGTGAGCGTTACCAAAGATGGCCACATGTTCTGGTCTCAGTCTTCCATGAAGAGTCTGACAAATCTCCTGCTGCAACTTGTTGCAGTCCACCTCCTTGAGCCTGTAATTAAACACCTGGAGGTTGGAATGCGATGCTAATACAATATGTATTCGTGTAAATCTTACTAAATTTTAAGGGTCACTAGAAACCTCTTAGCATCAATATGGTATCTTTTTTTGAGCAGATAAGAATATATTTCTAGGGCTGGAAAGTTGGCTCAGTGGTAGAGCGCTTGCTTTGCATGCCTGAGGCCCTGGGTTCAATTCTTCAGCACCACATAAGCAAAAAAGAAAAAAAACCTGGAAGTGGCACTGTGACTCAAGTGGTAGAGCACTAGCTTTGAGCTAAAGAGCTGAGGGACAGCGCCCAGGCCCCACAACCGGACACACACACACACACACACACACATACACACACACACACACACACTTCTATTTTTGTCTCCTATTTCTTTTCCTTCCTAAAATTGTTTTTATTGTTACTATAAAGGTGCTATACAAAGGCAATATGGTATTATTTAGATTTAAAGACTATTCTTAATGAGTATTTTCTGAACTATCATTTAAAATATTAAAAAGTAGCTGGGCACCAGTGGCTCATGCCTGTAATCCTAGCTACTCAGGAGGCTGAGATCTAAGGATCGTGATTCAAAGCCAGTCAGGGCAGGAAAGTTCGTGAGACTCTTATCTCCAATTAACCACCAGAAAACCAGAAGTGGTTTTCTGAGCTGTGGCTCAAGCGGTAGAGCACTAGCCTTGAGCAGCTGAAGAGCTCAGGGACAGTGCCCAGGCTCAGAGTTCAAGCCCCACGACCACCAAAAAAATAAAAAATAAAATATTAAGAAGTGACTATATATCAAAGACAGGCACTAGTGGCTCACACCTGTAATTCCAGCTACTTGAGGAGCTGAGAACAGAAAGATTGACTTTCTAGGCCAGACTAGACAGAATAGTCCATGAGTCTCTTATTATTTGTGTGTGTGTGTGTGTGTGTGTGTGTGTATGCGCACGCCAGTCCTAAGGACTGAGTACTGCCCCTGAGCTTCTTTTACTCAAGGCTAGTGCTCTTACCACTGAGCTACAGCACTACTTCCAGCTTTTTCTGAGTAGTTTATTGGAAATAAGAGTTTCACAAACTTTCCTGCCCAGGTTAGCTTTGAACTGTGATTTTCAGATCTCAGCCTCTGGAGTAGCTAGGATTATAGGTATAAGCTTCCAGCACCTTGCCAAAAGACTTTTGTTGTTGTTGGTCATGGGGCTTTAATTCTGGGCCTGGGCCCTGTCCCTCAGCTCTCAGCTCAAGGGTAATGCTCTACCACTTTAGCCATAAAGCCACTTCTGGCTTTATCTGTTTATGTGGTGCTGAAGTATCGAACCCAGCACTCATGCAATGCACTTAACTACTGAGCCACTTCCCAGCCCTGGAAACTATCTTAATGGAAGAAGATAGGCATGGGTAGAGGCCTGTCATCCCATTTATAATGGGATGTTGAAAATAAGGGGATTATGGTTCAGGTGCATAAGTGGACAGGAAGTAAGGCCTTACATAAAAAATAACCAGCACAAAGCCAGCACAGGTGGCTCACGCCTGTAATCCTAGCTACTCAGGAGGCTGAGATCTGAGGATCACCGTTCAAAGCCAGCCTGGGCAGGAAAGACTGTGAGACTCCTATCTCCAATAAACCACCAGAAAACCGGAAGTGGCGCTGAGCTCAAGTGGTAGAGCGCTTGCCTTGAGCTGAAGAGCTGAGGGACAGCACTCAGGCCCAGAGTTCAAGCCCCACGACCGACAAAAAAAAAAAAAAAAAACCCAGCACAAAAAAGGGGCTGCATTGTGTGACTCAGCAATATACTACCTGCCTAGTAAATATGAAGCCCGAGGTTCAAACCCCAGTACCACCAAAAATAAAAAGTTCCTCCTAAGAAACCAGTGGCTCACACTATTCAGGAGGCTGAGACATGAGAATCATGGTTCAAAGCCAGTCTGGGCAGGGAAACCCATGTTATTTTTATTTATTTTTTTGGGGGGGTCCGGTCGTGAGGCTTGAACTCTGGCCTGGGCAATGTCCCTCAGCTCTTCAGCTCAAGGCTAGTACTCTACCACTTGAGCCACAGCGCCACTTCTGGCTTTTTTTCTTTTTGCTTGTATGGTGCTGAGGAATCGAATTCAGGGTCTCATGCATGCAAGGCAAGCGCTCTACCACTGAGCCACCTTCCCAGCCCCCATGGGTCTCTTATTGTCAATTAACTGCCATAAAAACCAAAAGTGGAGCTGTGGAACACTAGCCTTAAGCACTAACCTCCATAAAAGTGGAGCACCAGTCTTAAGCAAAAAAAGCTCCAAGACAGAACCTAGGCCCTGAGTTAAAGCCCTAAGAAGAGCAAAACAAACAAATAAATAAAAGGTTTCTACATCAACATTCTTCCTATAAGGAGATCAATTGTTAGGGAGGTTACAGAAGCAAAAAACTACCTGAACTTGCATCCAGATATTGCATTCACTCCAAATTGTACTTCATGTCTCTTAACAGAGCAGATTCCATCACCCTGGCTCTGCAAGAGGGTCATCTGAGGTGGAAGAGTGACAGTCAAGGAGACCACGATAGAAAAAAGAAAGTAGGCTTGGAAAATCTATACTGTCACTGTTCCCTTAACATTGTATCTTACACTACTATCCTGTTGTACAAATCATAAATTTATGCATTTTCCACTGGCAATTAAAAAAACAGAATGAGAGAAAAAATTAAACATACATCATATGAGTTTAAAAAAGCAGAAAGTTTGCTCCTCATCTTTAGCCACTCTAGTTGTTTGTTTGGGGCTTGAACTCTGGGCCTGAACACTGTCTCTGAACTTCTTTTGCTCGAGGCTAGAACTCTATCACTTGAGCACAGTGCTATTTCTGGCTTTTTCTGATTACTTTATTGGAGATGAGTCTATATTAGACTTTCTTACCCAGGCTGGCTTCAAACCACAGTTCTCAGATCTCAGCCTCGTAAGTAGCTAGGATTATAGAGTTGAGCCACTGGTGCCCTCCTAGTCATTCTAAAGTTTAAAGTTTTTAATTTTTAGGGCTGGAGGAATTGCTTAAGTGGTAGAAGTGCCTATCAATCGCAAGGCCTTAGATTCAAACCCCAGTATTCAGGTGGAATGTTGAAAGCCTTCAGTGGTATCAACACTTGGAAACATGATGGATTAGCAGAATTTGGAGAATTAGAAAATCTAAACTTAGCAGCATTTCCCCTTTAGCTACAAGAGCACCCAGATCTGCAAAGGATACGGAGTGACCGATGTCACCAGTTAGAACCAAGAGTGGCTTCCCAACAATATATCCAGGATTCCCACTTCTTGGACCAGGAGAAACAGCCCTGTTCCACTGAAAAGCCTGCAGAAAGAGTGAAGAACAGTTGGTTATTGTGAAAAGCATATTTTCCTATCTTGCCTGGCTTCTTATCTTTCCTTATAACATGATCTGTACTGAACAATCTAGTTTCCTTCCATGTATATCATGTTACAATTTATACTCCAATGTTTTAACATTGGAGTTCTTCATTACAAAAAACAAAAACAAAACAAAACAACACCTAAGTGCTAGTGGCTCACGTGGGTAATCCTAGCTACTCAGGAGGCTGAGATCTGAGGATTGCAGTTCAAAGCAGCCTGGGCAGAAAAGTCTGTGAGACTCTTATCTCCAATTAACCATCCCCAAAAATGGAAGTGGCACTGTAGCTCAAAAGTAGAGCGCTAGCCTTGAGCAGAAGAGCTCAGGGACAGCGTCCCAGCCCAGACAAAAAAACAAAAACAAAAACAAAAAACAATAAAACTTGATTGGAATTCTATCAAGGATTACAACCAAGAACCACTTAACCTAATTTCTCAAAAATTGCTCTGAGCCAGGTACCTGTAGCTCGTGCTTGTAATCCTAGGTACCTAGGAGGCTGAGATCTGAAGGATCTTGTTTCATAATCAGCTTGGGTAGAAAAGACCATGAAAACTCCATCTTCAAAATAACTAACAGCATGCTGGGCACTGGTGGCTCACACCTGTAATCCTAGCTACTCAGGAGGCTGAGATCTGAGGATCGCAGTTCAAAGCCAGCCTGGGCAGGAGAGACCGTGAGACTCCTATCTCCAATAAAACCACCAGAAAACCGGAAGTGGCACTGTAGCTCAAGTGGTAGAGCGCTCGCCTTGAGCTGAAGAGCTGAGGGACAGCACCCAGGCCCAGAGTTCAAGCCCCACAACCGACAAAAAAAAAAAAAAATAACTAACAGCAACAACAAAAGCAGAGCTAGCAACATTGCTCAAGTGGTAGAGTGCAAGCTTAAACAAGCAACATTAAGGCCATGATTCAAACCCTAGTACTGCAAAAGTTGCTATCAATTTAGTGCCATGTTTAAACTGGCTAAAATGAGACAACTATAATATTCCAGAGACAAAATGCAAAAGATAGAGAACTTACACAGAGTTGAACTCTGATGGGTTCAAAAAGGAAAACAAGTAGAAGAAAGCCAAAATGTGGTGATTAACACCAGAAACAAGATTCAGTGGGAAATGAGGAATGGCCAAAAATAAGAGGAAAAGCTAGTTAAATTCTTAACTGAGTTAAAGATTAAGTAAAAAGTAATCCTAGGTACTCAGAAGTCTGAGATCTGAGGATCATTCAGTTTGAAGCCAGCTTTGGCAGAAAAGTCCATGAAATTTATCTCCAATTAACTGCCAAAAAAGCCAGGAGCAGTACAAAAAAAAAAAAAAGTTGAATATCTATTACATGTAGTTAAAGAATATTCAATGTTGAAATTTTAGTCAAGAGTTAACTAGGCATTCATAGTTTTATTTTACATGCATTCTAGAAGCAGAGAGCTATTTCTAACCCTCTCAATCTGCTACAAGAAAAGGGCTCTAACCCTAAAGTGAATGATGAAGTCTTGCTGTAAGGAAACACCTGGTTCAACAGTCAAGTTGGTTTGTCCAAAACTGACAGAGACTTTCTGGATTCCAAAGGTCCCATTGGTCTCTATCTCATAGATGACCTGAAATGCAAAAGAAGAATCAATTAAGAAAAGAGCTATTGGACTAATTGTGTTTAAAGAAAAGTATTTTATAACTGTGTTATTATAACTACATGTATAAACTAAACAACATTTAAAACAAAAACAGCATGAAAAGATAGGGATAGCTTTACATTAATTACATTTACACAAGAAAAAAGAGGATAGGGTTTTTCTCGGAAGTGTTTATGGGAGAGTTGTGTTCAGAAAAAGTTTTGACTGGGGGAAGAAGACAGTAAGTACTAGAAGCAGAGGTGAGCTTCTGAAATGTAAACCACTCATCTTTAGATGGAAACTGGGCTACTTGACTCGAGGTGTCTGAAGCGAAAGATAGCTGCTAGCCGCTAGTAAATTTCTAGCAGTCTTTAAAATGATGATTTACTACTTCTGCACTGACTATTACAGATTTTTCCTATCAAAAGAAGAAATTATGATCAGTCAATAGGAATCAGTAACAGAGTGTGGGAAAAGGAAGGAGTCAGAATGTTCTGAACTTGAAATGTTCTGAACTGGAGGATGGTGGCAGTGGACATGTTAGAAACATAGTAAGGAGGAAGATATTGGGTTCAACTCGACATATGAAATCTCAGATAATACACAAAACTTCAGCTGGGGTTACACTAGCACATCTCTTACAATACTAACCAACATACATGAGTGTAGAATCTGAGGCCTGCAGCCCTACCTGGGAAACGATATTCTGACAAGTGTTTCCAGCCAACAGAGGAGGACTTGCCTGTGAGGTAAGTGTTATTGGAACGTGGAACTATCAAGGGAAAAAAAAAAAAGATCAACTAAAATTGAAAGTTGCATTTTCTCTTCTAGCTATGTATCATGCTAAAATGAGTATCTGTTTTCCCCTTTTCTTTCTCCTTCCATTGCTAGACTACAATTTAAATTCAAAACTTATTCTACATCAGCACATCTCAAAATATATTTCTCAGGACATTAATTCTATGAGATGATATAAAACAGGCACCCATAAACAAGTATAAGCAAACCTGTAATCAACTTTTAAGGGCCTTTATTTCATTAGAAGACTCTAAGAACCCCAAATGCTGTATTTAATTTTGTTTAACTCAAGTGTTTTCTAGATTTACTATAATACTTCATTAATCTTAAATTCATATGAAACTATTGGACTGCTCTTTGGTTTTTTTTTTTTGGTCGGTCGTGGGGCTTGAACTCTGGGCCTGGGCGCTGTCCCTCAGCTCTTCAGCTCAAGGCAAGCGCTCTACCACTTGAGCTACAGCGC